CACTAGAGCCCTATTAAACAATATTGCTCCATCTTTGAACCTGTTGCTTAATTGAAGCCTCTTAAATTTTTATTGTCAAGTTGGCAGAAATTGCCATTTTTAGTGCGCTTTTCATCTTCTCTAACGTGCCATGCCGACAGCGTAGCAGGGAGAAGCTGAGCTGGGGAAGTAACATTACCTGATCCCATCCACTATGGGAGAGGCTCGGGTGATGCTGCCGAGATGCAGCCATGATGCTGTAAAAGCCAGCTGGGAAAAGGGGATTAAAAGAAGCCAAATCCAGGAGGAATTTATCCTTCTCCAGGGGATCAGCCCTCGAAAACATAATTTCCAATGTGCCCACCCATGCCTTGGTGCTGTGGTCCAGTGCAGGGGTATGGGGGATATTGCAGCCTCCCCAAGGCCACGCACGACACAAGGTCTGGAGAGGCTTGTTATAGCACCAGGCTCACCCAAAAGAGGCAGGAAAAGGAAAAAAAATCAAGGTGGTTCTCTCCAAAGCCAGGAGCAGCGGGAGCTGAAGGGCACTGCCCTGCATGGGGTGGTCCTGCCCTCCCTTGGGACCCGTCTGGAGGGTGACGGCACAGCGTGCCCCGAGCCAGCTCCCGTGCAGCTCAGGGCTTTGCCCATTCATGAGAAAACAAACCTTATTCATTAGACTCAGCAATTGCCATGGAAACCGCTCCCCTGCCCGACCAGAGCATCTCTTGCTGCAAGGCGCAACAGGGACCACGGCCGGCTCTCCCCATGTAAAATCGTGTGAAACCCCCCAAAACAGCAGCTGTGGTCTCACACATCCAGGTAAACCACTCTAGCTCCTTTCACGCTGCGTTCAGACACAGCCACTGCCGTGGTGTACGGAAAGTCACCCAGAGAGGACGTTTTCCACCGTCCCCCACCAAGACACTCTTGTTTTAATTGCAACTGTCCGTCGTGTGTTGCCTTCTGCTGCGCTGCCTCCTGCGTCGCTTTAGGGAGCTCCATCCCGGCTCCCCTTAAACTTCAAGGGGTCACTTCGGTCTGAGGTTTCAGACAGAAAGCACCTGCCTTCGGCCACGAGTCCACAGCAAAGAAACAGCTTGGCCTATATAACCCCACAACCACGTTGTATGGAGGAAGCCTCCCGCTGGCATTGCCTTTGCAGGATTGCTTTTGCTGACTCAGCACACACAACCGACACAAGTGCAAAGTCCCTCTTACTACTAATGCAAACCAGCACGACATCGTTACTGCATTAACGATGCAGTTTCCAGACTGGTAAATGTACCTTAAAAGTGTCACTCTGCAGGAGTCAGCGGGCCCAGCCACTGCAGAAGGAGAAGAAAAATGGATTTTGTTCCTTTTTTTAGACTGACAGATAATTTTAAAGGGCGATTTAATAATATCACGCACCATCATGGAGCCAGAGTTTGCTTTCGACAAGGGACTTCTGGAAAGCTCTTGGTATAAAAATGCAGGACTTATCAGCCTGTCACCAAGATGCAAGTCCTTGCTTGTGTTAAGCTGCTGCATACATGGAAAGGCAGGAGATCAGTAAGTAAAGCCCAGTAAATACTCTTATTTCCAGACTGGGATGGGGGACAAAGGGATAGATTTGAGCACGACTATAGCCGTAGTAATAGAGCCAGAAATAAAGCCACGAGCCTCTAACCCAGCCAGGAATAGATCCCCTTCACCTCAAAGCCCGTCTCCAAGATCCAAGGCTCCCACCGCCGCACCAAGGCCAGCCTGCCCAATTCCCCATCTGTTGTTTCATCACTGGAAGAAGTGCTTGTAACTAACACAGGGGCTGCTCTGAGCTGGGAGACATGAAACGACCTTCTCTTTCTTTATTTCTATTCCCCTCCAGCCAGAGAATCATTCCATTTGTGTTTCACAGTGTAAACACATGGTTTAGAACACCAATAACTGGCCAGACTCAGCCCTCCAGGTGATGTTCATGGGTTTTTCCACCTTTTGCTCTGCCTTACTGAAGGAGCAGCACGTGCCTGCCCCAGATGCGGAGGTTTAGTAGAAAAAAAAAAGGCTAAATCAGGGGTCTGAATAAAAAGATGTGCATTCAGGGCTTGAGAAGGTGCGTGATGCCCAGGCGGTCCCTGTGGGGTAATTAGAGGAGGCAGTAGCATGTGTATGCTGTAATGGTTGTAATTAGGCTAAAAAATGACATTTTGGAGAGGAGGGGCTGGGGTAGGCAGCATCGTTCAGGGAGCTGAACGCTGCTCCAGGCAGGCAGCTTGAAGAGCCCTCCGGGTCTCCTGGGTAAAGATGCTGCAGGCTGCGGTGTAATTTTAAACCAGTCACAGAATCCCTGGCCCCAAGCTACGTGCCCCTCCCTCTCCCAGCACCAAAACCCTGGCAAAACCCGCAGAAGAGGGGACATACTCGAGCTAAGAGTCCCTGCAGATCTGTTTTTCTTGTCATCTTCTACATCTTCCCTGCCTGGAAGGAGAGGTTTGGGGAGGGTTGGGTTTTCTCCCTCTCTCTCAGCTGGCTGTCTTCCTGATAGGAAATCTAATTTTTTAATACAAAAAATGAAATAGTTAACGCTGGCAATGGGATGGGGAAGATTTACAGCAGCTGTCTTAAAAGTCTACAGCTTTTACGCTATTTCTATCTTAAAACAAAGTCCTTGAGATCCTCGCTGCAGGCTCCAGCTCCCAGCCACGCTCCCAAGCCTTGCTGAAGCCGGGATGTTTAAGGAAGACAAATCTTTCCAATTACCGTGCGCGCTGCCAGGCAAGTTCGATTCGAGGAGGTGTTGCCAAATTCTTTCAGCATCAGGCAGCTGCACCGCACAGCCCGATACCCGGCCCAGCGCGCCCTGCCTCCCTGCCAGCTAACGGGGCACACAGCCGTGCAAACGGCTGGCGATGCCCTTCTCGGGCGTCGGCCTCGGCGTCACCACGGTTAGCTTTTCTCTGGAGCTAATGCGGACTTACTCAATGGGTGCTGATTCTGCTGGAGGTATTTTTCACAGCTGACAAGTTGCTGAACAAAAATCCTGCTCTTTTCTGCTGAGAAGAGAGGAGAGGGCTTCGCTCGAACACATGTGCACGCTGGGGATGGAAATGCAAAACCCAACACAGGACCCTTGGCTCCACTATCGAATCATAGAATAGTTTGGGTTGGAAGGGACCTCCAAAGATCATCTAGTCCAACCCCCCTGCTATGAGCAGGGACATCCTTCCAGTAGACCAGGTTGCTCAGAGCCCCGTCTAACCTGACCACGAATGTCTCCAGGGATGGGGCATCTACCACCTCTCTGGGCAGCCTGGGCCAGTGTTTCACCACCCTCATCGTAAACAAGTTCCTCCTTCTCTCCAGTCTGACATGGGACCCTCTGCTCCGACATTGACTTCCCACCATGACCTTTGGCAAGTGACTTGTTCTCCTTGGGGTCTGCGAGCCGCCTGTGCTGGCACGGGAAGGACTCCCGCAGGCAGCCGTTGTGGGGGATAACCAGCCACCAGCCCTACCCCAGGGACGTATCCAGACCCCACTGCTCTGCGCTGCCTCTGCCCATGGCAGCTACGGGCATGGGGCCGACCCCAGCGCCGCCACCTCGGTGTGTGGAGACCCTCAGCCTGCTTCAGGAGATGCCCCTGGGAGAGAGGATGGATATAGCATTCAATGCCCAGTAATTACTGCCAACAGGAATCCATCAGTTTTCCATCCTTCCAGGTTCTTTATCTCGCACACGCCCCATGTAAGCGGTGCTGAATGCTGCTGGCGCCCCTGGGGTAGCAGAAAGCAGCCGCAGAGTGAGGTGAGGATGTCGGGGACACACGGGAGGGGCTGTGTCAAGGCAACGGGCATGAAAAATGCCCATGACGGGTTTCCAAGCCCGTTTCTGCTTTGGACTTCAGCAGCTGCTGCCTCAGCCCCTGAAAGAGCCCTCTGCCTTCGCTGTTACTAAGGTGTTACACTCCGAACTAGAGCCCTCCGCACTAATAAAGCTGCTCATTTTCTCCAGCCCACCGGACTTCCCACAAGATAGGAACTGACAACAGCGAAACATTTCTCTGCTTTAATTGAGAAGTTTCCACCTGGCGCTCGCCCACCGGGAACCCACACCGTTCGTTATCTCCTGGATGATTACACACAAGCGTGCCGTAATGAAGGAGAGAAGATCTGCATCCAGGCTCGCTGAAATGCAGCATCTTCAGGTGTATTTTGGCACCCGCAGGCCACGGAGAGATGCCTTAATGCTATATTTGGTGGTGAATTCCTCACATTGCTCTGAGCCAAAGTGTAACGACTGCGGCTCTGATCTCCACGGAGGTTTTAATCAGAGCAAACCCTCCAACAGCTCGTGTTCACTTTCCTCAACTTGATTTATGTCTCATTTGAGGGTGGATGCAAGAGCAGGGAGGAAAATGAGACAGGCAATGAGGCAGGAGGGCTAGGAATGAAAGCATCGGGGCCAAGCTGGGGGAAAAAATTATTCCGCTGGCTGGCTTCCCGTATGCCTAATCAGGATTTGGGTCTAATGATGCTATGTCACATCACATCCATCTGCACCGTGATGATGTGCCACTGTCGGGACTCGGGGATGGTGATGCATCCTGAGCCATGAGCATCTCACCACAGTCTATAAGAAAAAATGTGACTATTTCTGTGTTACCTGAAAGGATTCATGCCGAGCTGCACAATGAAACACTCTTGTCTCTTTTTATATCCTTGGCGTGCGGAGCCAACTTGGCAGGTTGGAAGGTACCCAACACACTGAGCAACTGCCACAGCTGAACCATAACCACGGGAGAGCAAGGCAAGGAAATTAGCAGGGATGAAGTCCCTTCTGTGGCCAGAATTACAAGGACTGTGGCAATGCCTGGGAAGCAATGGTGGAAAGCTGCCCTCATCCCAACCAATTTGAAGTAAGGCTTGAAAATAGCTGTTAATGATGATGATGCCTCTCAAGGGGCACCGGTACATAGAAGCAAGCTCTCATATGGACCCACTGGAGGGATCTTGGTGTGTAAATGAAAATTAGGACTTACCCTTTGCTCTTGGGTGGCCACAAAGGTCTGAAATCCAGGGGCCACCCCAAACCCCAGCTCCTGGACGAAGGGTGGCTCGGACTGGCTGTGGATCTGGACTTTAACTCCAGCTTCGAACGTTGTTTCCTCTGGAAGAAGAAGTGGGGGGAGGGGTGTTAGGGGGCTGCGGTGGGTGGGATGGTGTTCACCTTCATGGGTGCGTTTGCCCCTCCGTGGCAAATTGTATCTGGTAGATCTGTGCTGCTCAAAAGCAGGAGATAAGCAGTTGGAGTGCTCCATCTGGATGATCAGACTTCTGGGCATAGAGGAAGAAAACCCAGCAGCAGCGTTTGCCCAGGACTCAGCCTAAACCACCACTGCTGCCCATCAGGACCAAGAGCATCTCCAGGCTCCTGGTCCCTACACTGCTGCCTATGCCAAGGGCTCACCCTCCCTGTAACACAGAGATTCATGGTTTCTCCAGCTTGGGCTGTACTTCCAAGCTAGAGAAATCAGGAGGTGACACCTACTTTCTAGCTGGTATTTAGTTGCAGAATGCATTCCCATAGTACTAAACCAAATAAACTCCTCCTGCCCCCAAACAGAGACGTTTCTGCTATCTGTAAGGACTCCAATGCTGAAAGCATGGGTGCACCCCACCTCCGCTGTCCCTGCCCTGACGCAGCCTAAGGCCACTTGGGAGATAAAGCAGTAATTAAATAACAAAACCAAAGAGTGTTAAATTCAAAGGAGCTCGAGGTTTCGGCAGCTGAAGCTGCTCCAAGCTGAACAAAGGCATTTGCAGTGCACGGGGCTCAGACACATCACCAAGTTACGGGGTGATGCGAGGTTTCCACATCCCAAATCTACGCTGAATACCAAGTAACTCGAGGTCAGTCCCCCTCTTCCACTACAAGCTAAAACCAACCCAAAAGAGACTTTCTGAAGCAGAATTAATGGGATGCAAATCAGACCCGAGTGTCCCTGCATGAGCACTTTGGGCTCCTTTTATCACACAGGCATCTTCACACAGCTGGGGCACGTAACCTTTCTCCCTCTACTATGGCTGCTACGGCCTCACGTTCCAACAAACAAGAGGGAGAGCATGGGACTAAGGGGTGGGGGGCTGGTTTGCAAAGGAAGTTGTTAAGTATGCATAATTTGGCCTAAAAACTGAGGTACCACTTAATACAAACCCAAGCCTGTGGCCAGCAATGCCACCACCACATCTAAAGAGCTTCTGTTTAAAGATGAATCATTCTTTATTTTCTTACTATTCCTTGGTATTTTTCTACAATTTTATTATGCCTTTCAAATTTCAACAGCACCGTATTCAATCCGAAGCACTAGCAGAAACCCAGCACCAAGGAATCGCAGCCGCAGAGCTGTTACGCCAGGGGCTGCACAAAGATGTGCAGCAGGAGACAACAGCAGAAGACAACAGATCATGGGATGATATGGGCAGAGGAGGAGGACAAGGGTAGAGTAAGGTGATACTGGATGACATGAGGTTTACAGATCTCAGAAACCCGTTGCTTAAGAGGATGCAACTGCTGATGCAATCAGGCAGCAAAGGGATCAGCCTTCCTCTCCCCAAGAGAACTTTCCTGGACCCTGCTCACCCGGTGGCTCCCAAGGCAAACGAAGCCAGAGACTGCCCAGGTGGGAATGAGCTTATGCATGGATTTGTCCAGCGCTCAGATCGACCTCCTTTACAGCAAACCATCCCCCGAGGTGCCAACACTCAGCTGGGCACAGTCACCACCAAACCAATAAAGTGTTGGTCCAAGAAGGTAGGACCAGAGACCTCTGGAGACCCCTGGCCAGACGCACTGCTGTCACCTTCATCCCCTACTGAGCAAACAAACCCTCCCTGCCAACCACAAACCAAAACCCACGCATTTCATTCAGCTTTTGGGAACAAACAATATTTAAAGAGCCCCTCTCACACGTTGGCTACACAAAACTTCACGCTCTGCACCTGCAGTGACTTGTCTACCAGCAGCACCTCCACATCTCAAGCATTTGATCTCAGCAGCCTTTGCAGACCGAGGAGCTGGAGCAGGCTATTACTACTTAACCTTTTAAAGCCCAGCTTTTCTAACTAAGGCACAGGAAAACAATTTGAAGATAAATAGTATTTATTGAAAGTTACCTCCCCAGGCCGTGCATACTTCTGTGAAATTCTGGGGTGGCAGCGAGCTCTCCACGTGCTCGGCTGGGGCTCTGCTCCAACCAGTTGGGAGTTGGACTTTTAACAGAGATGCATTGATCTGCAAGGCTGGCTCTTGAACACACACTCCCATCGACTGATGCCTTGGGCGCCCATGCGAATCTGCCTGCCTGTGCATCGGCTCTGTAACGCGCCACGCAAGGTAATCATTTATTTTTGCCTCCTCGTGACGAAAGTGCTTTTGGTATCGAAACAAAGTCATGATTCAGGCCACGGAGCATTGCTATTGCATGGGGTGGCATGTGGCAGAGGTGGAGCTTGAGTGCATGTCCTCTGAATCCCATGTTGGTGGGATATTGGCACAGAGAGTATAAGTTTAGTTTGGCTTCTCCCTACACTGAAGCCTCCCAGAGCAAGACTGGCATTGACCATCCTTGCTCTTGGCTTCTACTTCTGCTCAAGACCCAATGACCACGACCAGAATCACTCCCCACCACCTTCCCATGACGGAGGGCTATTTGCCTTTCCCTTGTTCAGCCATAATTGGGTTCCCCTTGCTCCAAGGGATGTCAGATGGATGTTGACATGTCCAAGCTCTCTCGCTGTCTGCTCCAGCCCTGCATTTGGGGGTCCCATTGGAGGGTCTCCTCCTGACACCACCCCCACAGTGCTGACCCTCCAAAACACCCGAGCGCTGAAGGTCGAGCCAGCTTTCCCCAAAACCTTTGGCAAGGCAGAGCATCCCCATCCAACCTCGTCACTGCTCAACAGCACCTCGGCAGCCCTGGGCTCCGCAGCCAAGTCGTCACGCCGGTGCCCAAGCCCCAGGGGTGAAGGCATGCCAGAACGGGTTCAAACCCTCTCCCGAGCACCCACCAACTCCTCCAGTTTCAATCCTGATCCTGTTATTCCCACATGACGCCCACTCCTACCGATCCCACACGGCTCCATCGCTTTGCCTGGTGTTGATCCTCTTCCAACACTTCAGAGGAGATACCATATGCTTCCTTCAGTAATTACCTGACAAGTTGGAGGAGAAAGCTTCTATTTAGTCTAACTTGTTGGGCAACGGGAACTATTTTGTTGAAACATTTTCCATCCAAAATTATTCTGCCCATTTCTGCACCTGCCCCGGGTCTGTTCAGCTCTGACTTAATTCTACATATTTCCCATGACTGGGTGCTGTGCCCAGGTCCATCTGCACGTAAACCCCCTGTACATCCATATCAAGCAAACAAGATACAGCCTGTAAATATCCATAAGAGACTTAAAAGCAACAGGGTTTGCAATTTTAAACAGAAAATCCTGGCATGTGGCCAGCTGTAATCAGGGACGGGGAGGGCATTTTCTACACCGTAGAAGAAACTTTGGTTTTAAAACATGCAGTTATTATTTTCCATCATTGACAATAACAAGAGGAGCAAAAGAAACAGCATTTTTTTAGCATAGCTGCCAAAAGCCAGGCAGCATTTATTGTTTTCCCTGCAAGAAACACATGCGAGGATGAAACTATAAACACGAAACTGGCTTTGAAAAACCTGTCACTTGTCCTAAAAATTCATTTTCTACAAAAATAGCTGTTTTCCACTAAGAGAGAAAAATTAAAAGCCCAGATCCAAAACCTTTTGATGGAATATGCCTAGACCAGTCCTCATTAGCTGCATCTTAAACGTTTCCAAGTTCTGCGCTGGGGCTGAGAATTATTAGTGTGGGTTAAATATCTGCTGCCAGCATAAGGAAAAGGAAGATCTCACAGGACCCAGAAGCACAAGATCATCTGGGTTTGGGTGCATTTTGCTTGCAAAAATCAATGTCCCTGGGCAGAGCAAACCCTGTCTGTCACCCTGAGACTGGAGAGGTGCAACCAGGGGTGTGAACATCCACAGAAACACGTCCCGGCCATGGTTTTCCCAGTTTTTGCAGTTTTAGCATCCGTTTGAATGGCTTTTTCTAGCGGTACCTCCTGGAGGCACAGGGCTGAGTGCTGGTCCAGGCTGTTGCTGCTATTTCCTTAAACCTGTTTCTTGCAATCACACATCAACGGGGCGAAAAATAACCCTGAAAACCCTTGATTGGCTCAGATGCCAGAAAAACTTTAAAACTAAATTCCAGTGACTTGGGGTACCTTATGGCTTTTAAACTAATTCTGTGATGTTGGGAAGCCCAACCACAGACCTCCATTCTATCTCCAATCCCACTTTTCAGAGCACAGTGCCTTAAATTCATTTCTTAGCGCATCCCAGGTTGGGAATAGAACAAAACCTCCTTGATGACTGCATTTTTAAATACAGTAATCTACATTACTGTACACAGGACAGTGTTTCCAAACAAATCCTGAGCTGCTCTTTTCACTGAAGGATTAGAGTAGCGTTAATTAAATTGCGGATTAATTCAGCATGTGCTTCAAGCTGGCTGCAGAGTATTATATGTTGCAGACTGCACAGCTTTCTATTTCTGGCGTTGGCTTTCCATGACTTTGTCAGGGCTTTCTGCTTACAGCATTGCTCGAAAAATCTTAATAAAGCTCCAGCTGACTGTACGCTTGGGTGCAGGCTATGAAGTTCATCCCCGTGAATATGCAAGAAGCTGCAATTAAAGTAAGAACTGCTGCCAAAGGCACGGAGCTACCCTTCTTCCCCCTGCCCTATTATGTCCAAACTGATCCACTTCTCTCCAGCAATTAACATCTAAAGCTGTGCTCAGCACTAATTTATTGGGAACTGAAGATGCAGCCCGAGTCACGAGTAGTTTCTGGCTGGAGCCGTCACCTGCCGGCTCTGCCGGCGGCACTGGCAGCTCCACGGAAGATACTCCTGCTCGCAGGAGACCAGAGAAGATCCCGCTCGGCTCAGCCTGAGGAAAATAGATGGTATTTTCTCAACTGGTTCACATTATGACTGTGTTACAAGGTGGCCTAAAGGTTTATTTTGGGAAATAAGCCTTCTCCTGCGAAGATCCCGCTCGGCTCAGCCTGAG